GGGGGGGGGGTGTGTGTTACAATCCCTTTAACCTCTGATCAGTACCCAAGATCACTGCTTTTCTATTGGCAGCATTTTTCTCCAGTGTAAAAAGTTGATTCTTTGCGGCAGCCATCTCAACTTCCCTGCAAAGGATTGTGTAGATTGTAATTAATAAAAGAAGAGGAAAGAATATATTACAGAGAGTATTTAAAGGTTTTCTGAGAAGATATCAATATTACAGAAGTTTATGTACTCAGGTAACAATAGTTTCACTGGTGTGGCTGAATAATGCTCTCTTTCCCACCTCAAAGCTGCTGGTCTACTAAGAAAGCAAAAATCTGTTATGGAAGGTTTATGTAGGAAAACAGGAACTGTTCCATAGCACAGGAAACTGAATCAAGTTGGCAGTATGTTCTGCGTGTGGCAAGAATCTATACCAGCTGCTTCTGAGGAAATTGTCGGACATTTAAATAGCAAATGGTGAAATGACGTACCTCTGGAGAGGTACAGAGCAGAGTCATGGCAGGAGGCCAGTAGGTCAGACTCACTGATTACGTATCATGGTTTTTCTAGGTGAGACAGCTGGAAGCAGAGGTGGATCATTAGAATCAAACTTTCAGATTGCTCCCCTTAGGCACCACATTACACCTGGCTTTAACTTTTGGATCTCTATTATCTGCGGTGTGTTTGGTTTTTAACATTACAGCCTACATGAACATTGACACTGAAGAAACCATTATCTGTGTAACCAGGAGAACAAACCTTTTTATCTTTGTTAATAATAACTGCATGAGTTAAGACCATTTTTTTAAGAATCTTTATGTATTACAACTTGGTCTCTCAAAGTCTGTGTCACCTAAGTATTCACAAATACGCTTCTGACACTGCATAATAACTGTCATTTTTTTAGTGCACCTTGAATGTTTTACATAATGACATTGATCTAAGCTTAGATGCATTAAAAATGAAAGCAAGCATCACATTCTTTTCCATCATCACTGCTTTCACGGGATCTTTTGCTGTCAGCAGGATTATTTGTTTGCTTAGCGCCAGCACTTAAGAGTACAAGAGCAGAGCTCACCAAAGGTAGGAGTAGGCCAATGCTAAGACCAAGTACTAGGTATAAAGAAAGTGGGTTCTGGTTTGGACTATGTTGTATTAGGCCTGCCAGGTAATGTTAAAGTCCTGGTATGAGAGGAGTTCGGGGAGCAGGTGCTGCCAGCTGTTGAGCGGACCATACATTCATAGCTGGCTATGTAGGGAGCTATGGTGATTTCCTATTTGAGAGCTGCCTTTGGAGTACTTGTTTCCTTATGCTCTCTGAAACACATCATGTTTGATGCTACTCAAATGAAATTTGTGGTGTGAGGTTTAAGAACCAAAGGACTGCACGCTTTGCTCCCACTGGGAAGAACAGATTTATACAAAGAGTAAAATTGGAAGAATTTACTTTAAACCTTTCGATTGCAATGTACTCAGAAAACACTTTAGCATGATCACAGGTGGGGCATGGTTACTCTTACTGTACAAATGTACAGGTAGCCCTTTCCATGTAACAAATAATTGGCTCTTCACCTGTTCAGTGCAATGTATCCTACATTATTTCCATAGACCCATAGAGGCATAGAATCGTAGAATGGTTTGGGCTGGAAGGGACCTTTAAAGGCCATCTAGTCCAACCCCCCTGCAGTGAGCAGGGACAGCTTCA